TTATTTCACCACGTTACATATGGATAAATGACCTACTATGTAAGTAAGAAAGACAAGCGTACAATGGTATATTTTTGCTCTCAACAGTTCAACGATAGCAAATTGCCGTCGAAAGCCACCTATTTACAGCATGTTTTCGCCAAAAGAATTCTTGCGAAAGCTTTTTTATTATTTACATAAACATTTTAGTTTTGTGAATCTTTGAACGGTTTTATTTTAGAATAAACCTATTGCACCCGGAGAAGCGTCGCGCAAAGGCCGAGGGCTACGGCGAAGACGAACATGTGTTATTTCACCGCGCGAGTGCCACGGAATTCATACATTCAGACAACCACCTGGAGTTGCTGGCGAAGGTGAATGAAATCTACTTCGACGACGACTTCCTACGGGACCATCCTCCACCGAGCGATGAAATCAAGGCGTGTTGCAAGGATATCAAAGTGCTCGGTCGGAAGGAATTGCGCGTCATGTTGAATTGGCGCCGCGACATTCGCAACATACTTTTCGCTGCTAAGGCGAAACAGGCGAGGGAGGAAGCGCATGACGACGAGTAAGCCGTTTAATACGTTACAACTTCAACCACTTTGTCCAACAGGTATGCGAATTTAGGGTGAAGAGCGAGGAGGAAGAAGACGCCGCTTTAGATGCAGAAGTTCAGAATGCCCTAATTGAACAAAAGTCTACAACAAAAAGGTGCAGTTTCATTTTTAGTTACTTTAATATGAATTATATTATTCCCTTTTGTATAGTTATGCTCACTTTATGGTAAAAGCATGTTAATATGAACATATACTAGGGATTTTTGTAGATTATGGATGTTGCTTGATAAGAAAATTTTGTTTTCATCGTCGTTTAAGGACTAATTTGATTTTGATCTACGGAGTTGCCCAAATCAGTGGTACCTCATCTAGCTGTAAATCAGCATAGAACCCAGAATATTTATACGTAGCAAAAAAATGACTGACTAGCGCCGTCGTTTTGGCCGTGTCTCAGAAAGTCTTTTGGCTTCACTCACCAGTCACTACGAACAGTGGATACGATTTCGGAAGTCAGTCATCCAACCTCTTTACCTTGAAGAAGGCCCACGAAACGGGTTGAAACGTCGGTATTACTCATTCATTTGATTTACTATATGTTGTTCGTAAATAAACTGTTGTAAGCTGTTTTTTCAGCATTATCACCGGTATACGAGCGAAATATTTTGCCTGATCTAGTTGAAACTTCCACCGCTGTATTACTAAGCTAAACTGAGCCTCCTCAAAAAAGCTGAGCACAGAAGGAATGGTGCAAAAATCTTCGTTTCGAAAACAAAACCTTCCAGTGGGATGCGTCTTAATTACCCGGAAATGATACATTTTAATTGTAATACGGAATAGGCGTTATGTCTGTTTGCAGTAGTCTGGTCGTCACATAACAGTTGCTAAAATTACCTTGTCACATCGACGTGCTTAAATCAAGTTGGCAACCTTCGCGGCAGTATAAATGTTCAAATACCGTACAGCTCTGGTCTACTTAGATTTTTCCGAGTAAACCCAGATGATTGACCCATAAATTATGAAAATTATTTTGCCTATTATTATTATTTTGCAAAATTTAACCGTTGTTCATTTTAGGAAAAGAAAAACACTGGCCAAACAGCGTCGAGAGTATCAGAAAAAGGTCGATCGCAAAATGATCATTCCCGGAGACAAATTCGATACGAACAGTGCCGGAGAGCTGTTCAGCCTAGAAACTCTTGAAAAGGTATATTCCTATAAACGTAATATACAGATTCAATGGTTTTGGATGTAATGTGATAATCACAATACTTTTTGTTAATATCGTAATACTGTCTGCTCACTCGTCAGTGCTTTTGGTGCTACCGAAAATTTTTTGCCCTTGTTGTAAGTCATCTTAGCGATCGCAAGCCATCATACTTTGCATTCAGTAGCCTTTTCACAAGGCGGTCATTGTCCGTTTATTAGCAAAACACCAACCAGTTTGAACGCATTGTTCTCTGCCAGTTGTCAATTAGTTGAATATTCCAATTTCTTTCGTATAGCGGCATTTGACGTCACGTCGTACTACTTCACTCCTAATATTGATATTAAAATCTTCATTCCCACTTCCAGCTTTCTGTTTTCGGTTTTATTAAGTGCTGTCATTTCCAAGCCATGGAGAAGGATGTTCATGATGAAAGCGATATTTTTCCGCAGCTTAGTGCTATGTTTGTCGTTTCAGAGTTTGAGTAACTTGTTGCTTGCTGTTACTGTCAATGTACAGGGCCTTTTAGTTTCTTTTGCCATGTGCAACTCATGTATTCACAAGATACAGATATTCTAGTACATTTTGCACAACTTTGATATATCTATGGTCAGACAGACTTTGGCCTTAATACTACCAACTTCCATGTACTTCACCTTCTTTAAGTTAATCGAGAAACCCAGATCAGAAAACTTCTGTTTCAGTATTAGGTATAGTGAAGTCATGGCTTCGAAACTGTCGGTAAGTAATATTATTTCATCCTCAAATGCAAGAGACTTTACACCGATGTTTCCCACACTTGCCGTCATATCTTTATCCAGTTTTATTGGTCGGAGTGCCCAATCAGTAAACAACAAAGAACAGTGGAGGTTCCACTCCTTGTCTTACTTGAAACTTTGTACAAAAGAATTTTCCGAACTTTCCATCAGTTCACACTACACTCGCCGCAAGATAATACTTCGTTTTAATTATGCGAATATTCTTTGGTAGGATTCCAT